CCCCAAAACCCCAAAACCCCAAAACCCCAAAACCCCAAAACCCCAAAACCCCTTAATTTTTTCAAAGGGTTGAACATTCTTGGTTTTAAATTATTTTTTTTAAAGATATTAAAAATTCCATATTAAAATCAAATTAATTAGATAAAGATGGACAACAGTAAGACTTTTCCCACAAAAATTAAGACTCTAACACTGATTTTATAGACTTACTAATTCTTGACATTATCGGACTGAAACAAGAAGGAACAAAATATAGAAATTCTTCTCTAACCTGTCAGGTTACTATGGGAGGGAAGAAATTATCGGATTTATCTCTTGCAAGAAAGGATCATCAACTAGCAATTCCACTCAAAGATGCTTCTGCTAGCATCCAATTCAACATATTTCCAATGACAAATCCTAAGAACAGAGTTGGTATGTTATTTAAATTCAAAGCCTATTCATTTCTAGACTAATCATTCTTTGTAGGAAGCATCAGTATCCCAGTCCAATCCTTCCTCGATTATCACTCAACAGGAACCACAGATCAATGGTTCACCCTTTTTGACTATCTGGAGGATGATACATTTGATGGACTGTTAGGTGAAAACGATAGTGAAGCTCCAATGATTCAGCTAAGATATTTAGTAGGATCTGGAACAATAACAACTTCAAAGTACGAAACCAAGAAAGAATCATCTCCAGTAAAGAAGAGTTACACTACTTCTACTGTAATAACTACTACAAAGACACTTAGTAAGTCCTCTACTAAGTCTTCTACTCAGGCTTCAACACCTGTAATTACTTCTGAGACATACACAGTTCAGACTCTAACTAAAGATTTGAGAGATAATATGAATAACCTGAAAGGAGATTTGAGGTCTGAACAGGCTGACACTCATAATTATGAAGACTCAAGAGTAGAACAGTTAGCACATCTTGAAAATGTTCATAATGAACTCCAGGAAGAACATATTAATGACCAAGTAAGAGGAAAGGAACTCAAGAGGCTTGACAAAGAGATATCCAGTGAAATTAATATCACTATGGCTGATTCCGAGAACGAAAAGAGCTCTCTTCAAAGACAGATCGAGTATACTGATGAGCTTATCCAAGAAAAAGAACCAATATTAGCTGAAAAAGAGCAAAAGAAGCTAGAATTAGAAGAAATAGTTGCCCAAGAACCTGATATTAATCAGATGAATCTCTCCCAAGCAGCTGAAAATTTGAGAGCGGAGAATGAGAATTTGAAAAACAAATTTGTTGATTCTCTTGGTTTAGTGAAAAATGAGAGAGAAGAAAAAGTAAAAGTATTCAACGAACATGCAGATTTGGTCAACTCGTATAATGAATTGGTTTTAAAATACGGGAACTTGTTGAACAAGATTGAGGGAGAAAGAAATCAAGCAGAGAATGAGAGAAATAGCACTCATGATGAAATAGATAAGGAAGAGTCCAATAAAGTAAACCTAGAGCATTATGTAAAAACATCGACCAAAGCTTATGATGGAAACAAAAATGTTACTGATGCTTTAAGAGAAGATTTGAATGAACTTAAACAACATTACTCTGAGTTTGAGCAACAAATTTCTAGCTTTATTGCATCTCAAACTGATGAAATCTCCTCTCTTCAGCATGAACTCAAACTTCAAGCCGACGGCATTGCTTCTCTCCAGAGAGAACTGTCTTCAAGTGCCACTAAAATCATGGAACTGCACTCTGGAGTCGACGAACAAAATGCAGCAAACCTAAATGCAAAACTGAGTAGCCTGATCACAACCTTGGTGACTGCAGACAAGTCAAGAAGACAGGCCCAGGGACTACTCGAAAATGCTCAAGAAGGCTGGTCTAGCAAACTCAAACTGTTCGAAGATGAAGCCAGCAGGATGTCTCGTGAGAACGCTAACAAGAAGCATGCTGCTGAAATCGACAGACTTCTGACCAAACTTGACAAGCTCAACAGAGAGCGAAACCAAGTCGCCAACGCAAGAGACCGCATCGATGCGAGGCTTGCCACCGACAAAGTCAGAGATGCCATTGATGAAGGGCTGCTCAAAGAGAAAGAGCAGCTGACTCTGAAACACAAGTGGGCTACAGACGAAATGCAGAAGGCGCAGGATGACCTTGAAGAACTGGTGAAACTACTAAGTTTCAAGAAAGATCTCTTGGCCAACCAGCAAGAACAGCTCGAGCAGCTCCGGATCGACATAGAGCTCGTCCGAGTCAAAATCACCGAGTGCAATGGAACCATTGCAGACCTAGAAGCGCAAATCCAGGAACTCAACCTAAGAATTGAAGAACTTTTGAGACTGATCGCAGTCAGAGACTCAGAGATCGAAGAACTCCAGAAGCAGCTCGACGACAGGATGAAGAGGATCCACGAGCTCGAGTCACAGCTCGACATTGCGAGGACTTCATACGTGGCCATCAAGGGTGACCAAGTCGATGAGATGCTGGCGAAGTACATCAAGAACTGTCCGGTGCCAGTCAAGAGGCTGGGTGGAGGCTTCTACTTGTTTGGCCTCAGAAAGATCTACGCTAAGATTCTGAACGGAAAGCTCGTGGTCGGAGTGGGCGGAGGATACATGGTAATTGACAAGTTCATTGAGACATACTCAGAGCAGGAGTTACGAAAGCTGAGGAGAATAGCTAAAAGAGAAGGAGTTAGTAGCATAGAAGAGCTTAATCTTGAAGCTATTGCTTTAGGTCCTAAATCTTCAACTGGTAGATCTCCAACTGCTAAATCACCAACTGGTAAATCTCCTAAGGGAAAGACAACTACTTTCTCATCCAAATCTTCCATCAACGGAACAGCAAGATCTTCTATGAGTAGCACTACAAAGAAAGTAACAAAAGGTGCTAATGGAATGACTACAACAACTATGACTAGGACATTCAGATCTACTAAAAATTAAAACACTTTTGCTGGCTAGAAGTAATTCAATTATTTTTTTATTAAAAGGGGTTTTGGGGTTTTGGGGTTTTGGGGTTTTGGGG